CCCCCCGCACTGCTGGACACGCTTCTCCTGATGCAGCCCAGAGTACGGTTGGCCTTCTGGGCTGCCAGCGCACATTGCTGGCTCATGTCCAGCTTTTCATCCACCAGCACCCCCAAGTCCCTCTCGGCCCTCTCATAGCTGCTAACAACCCAAGGCTCCCTGTACATTACAGCTGACTTGGATCTCATTACTTAGGTGTAAGAAGCAGAAAAAAACAATGTTGCTTACACAGGTCTGCCATTTCCCTCCCTTGCAATAACTGATTGATACGCTTTGAGTTCCTGGCAGAAAGACAGTCATAAGAAAGAGACAAGATGTGCATGGCCATATGCAACCAACAGATTATGTAACATCTTTTCATACGTATGGCACACAGTGTGCATGTAAAAAAACCCAAAAGATTGCATGAAACTAATGAGGGGAAGATTTACTACAATTTTTCTCTTTTTCTTCCCATCGTCTGTTTCCTTACTCCTAACACCCCTCCTGGGACGTCTTGAAATAACTTTGGGGCGGAGGGGGGTTTCTAACAAATCCCCCTTGTTCAACTACTTCTCAAGTCTTTTATGTAAAAAATGCTACTTGCAGCTAATTGCAGCTTGCATACTTCTAGCTATTTTGGAAGCTAGAAAAGAACGTTGCCGTAGGTTTGCTAGAAGGCTGACAGTAACTACCCAGGAGATTTTCTTTAATAGTCATAAATATAAAAAGAGGACCCATAGTGGTTACTCCTCAGGACAAAAAGAGGAGTTCTAGCCTATCTCTGAAGCACAGTGGCTTAAATACTAATAGAGAACAATTAAATCTATCAGCATCTGCAGGCAATTTTCACAGAAAATGCACAGAGGGGGTAACCTATGGGCAAGAAAACAGAGGGCGGCTAAGACTAGTATCTTCAAAGCCATATCCTTGTATTTCTGTTTAGGTTACTAAATTCATGTCACCCAATTTTAAAAGGTACTGACCACCCAGTACTTGGAAGGAAAACAACAGAATTTGCAATGACCTGGTTCCTCTCAAAAGCACATCTGTATTTAGATATCTGAATACAGAATTCAAGAGCCTAAATTTGGGCACCAAAAATTTGACAATATTATCGGCGCTAATTGCACAAGACTATTGCTATTCGCGACTAACTGCCATGGAAGATAACCATTTTAGGTGGGGTGGTATCAGCCTCCATGGAGCTGCTTTGCAACAGGATACAGATTTTGCACTAAGTGCCATAAAGACTTTGTAACAGCACCTGCTAAGAGGTCTTTGAGTTATATGACCTAAGAAATATGCTGTATTTGCACTATATTTTTTGTCATATTCTGTAACATTACAGTTTGACATGGATATGGCACATTCATCCTCAAATGCAGCGAATGAAAACTTACCAAGGGATGTAAAGGGCAGGGTAACGTCTTGGGACCAAAGATCTGCAGTATGTAAGCATGAAGGATCCCTGCAATCAAAACGATGGAAAAAATTGCATTCTGGAAGTATTATGCTAAGTTTTGGTAATGCTAGCTAGCCTCCACAGTGAGAATATGAAGCTCTCATATGTAATCTCCAGCTCTTATACATGTAAATTAAAAGCAAACAATGTAAATAAGATCCAGAGGTCTGTCTTACAAGGATGAAAGTAACAGCACAGCTTTGTTTGTAATTCCCAGGACGCTTTTAGCATTATGAATAAAAGAATACAAACAAGCTCAGGACTGATGCTGTATTAAAAGAGCCTTAGAAGTTGAATTTCAAATGACTACTTTAAGAAGCAGGTTACTGAGCTAAGCGAAAGCACTTCTCACCGTCTGAAAGTTTCCTTTTCCACGAAGCTTTCACTAGCATCTCTAGCTGCAGTCTCCCTGCATGGAAAAAGGTATCGCTGTCAAAATCACAGTAAAAGCCGTGCCAGTAGGATTGCTACATTTCACATTTTTAGAAGATAAACTTTTTTTTTAAGCAGAGTGCAATGGCATCCACATTCCAATAGTGAAGAAAAGGCATTGTAAAATTGTTATAAGAGTTCACTAAAGAAAGTCTGTTAGAGTTGGAGTGAATTTAGACTACTGCAGTAATGGATATCTTTGGGAAATAAAGGACTAGACTCATTATGAATACCGGGTAGTCACAAAGATGGACAAAAGACAATAAACTACTACTTTAGACAACTAATGCCATTGCAATCTTCCTTCTGGTTTCTCACACAACAGTGCTTCTATTAGGTTCTTCAGACCAGCTTCTTAGGTTATTAGGTGCTTTTTAGCCTGTATGTCACCTATTAGCATCAGGTGACTACCACAACATAAATTCTCGCCTTTTCCAGGTTTGGACCGGTATCTTTTCTCAGGCACTGTAAATTCTTAGAGTACAGTGGTATTTGATGAAAGAATGGAAATGGATCATTGGTTAATTTCAAAAAATCAGCTAGACTCATTTTAAGTGTGAGCATTGAGACATGTGGAAGGGTTCCAGAGAAGTAAAAACTTGCTGAATTTAATGTTGACCTTCTGTAGAAATGCTCCATTACCACCAGCAGCTCTGCTATTCCACCTATTTCTACACACAAACCCCCTTGCTAAGCATGCTTGAAGCATACAAAGTGCTGTCTTTTTTTATTACACAAAACCTTCTTCCTCTATGTCAGGCTTTTTGTGACAACCTCAGCTTTGGAATAGACAAAAAAAAAAGATTTTATAGTAAATGGCAGTTGCCATTTGGCATCTTATATTCTTATATAGTAACTTTGGATACAGCACAACTTCTAACTAAGGCACTGGGAACAAAAGAAAAAAAAATAATTGAGCTTCATCTCAGTTTTCATAGGAGACAATCGACAAAATCTTAGCTCTGCAGAAGCTACCTAGAAGCAGCATCTTGTTTCATCTTTCCATATACCACTCGTGTATCTTTATTAGTAAAGGTCCTCTATTTAATTAATAAAGTATCTATTTAAAAGGAAATTCATTAACTTCTACAGACTTCAGCAATGTCCTGTGGATGTCATTACCACATTTTTCTTTACAGAAAATGCCAAGGTGATGAATGCCTTTTGGTAATCCTTCTCACTTGTTTAACACCAATTCTGTGGTACATAGAAACACGAGCTTTGGAGGTTAAGAACATGAGCCTGATCAATTAATCTTATATGCCACTGCTTCGTTGATCTACCTCAGAATTTTGATCTGCAAGGAACTTCTAGTCTTTACTAGAACATGAACAATTGTTTTCTTCCCAATTTTTAAATCCATTTTGCACAACTCTCTCTTTATTTCTCAAAATATCGTCTGTATGATAATACTGTATTCACTCGATCAACATCTGTATCTGTGTTGTCCGTGACCTTCTCAGAAAGGTGATTTCTCACCTCTTGCAAGGATCTGATCGCAGGGTGAAGACAGCAGCGCATCCTCTACTTACACCATCTCTGTGTAGAAGGATGTAAAAGGACAACATCAGAACTAGCACTACCAACAGCACCGATAGTCACATACTTTGAAAGACAGCTTTGTTTATTGAGGTATGATTACGTGTAGGATTCTCCCACCCCCATTTCAGCTCGGCAAGAGAACACTGTTGCAAGGGAGAAAAATTCTCTTAAAATCCATGTGTTCTGAACCATAAAAGCTTGCAACCATACATAGAAAAAAACAGTTTCTCCCACTGCCACCACAAACAGAGAACATCGGCAATAATCATATAGTACAGGCTGGCAAAGGACACTGTTGACTGTCATGCCATAGACTCTGTCTATGACAGGCAAAGTCAAGGTAGGAAGAGGTAGTGCATTTACTGCTTAAAAAATCAGTCAGACAGACCACCTTCTGTGTATGAATCCTTTTTCCCGTTGTGAAACAGAAACTTCTGTATTTAAGCTGTCAAAAATTTGCATGCTGGTTAACAGGCAGATCTTTTGTTCCATAAAAATGCCTGGGAAAAGCACAAAAGCCCAGAATACCTAGGATGTTGGGACCGATGTGATTTTGTTCCACCAGTACATATTATGGGAGAAGCCTCATGGTTTAAATAAATGTCATCCTAATCAAAGTCCATGAATTGTATTTTCCTTTATGAAGCATCCTTCTGTTCCGGATTAGAAACATCAGAGTTTGTGCTGTATTGATTTTTCAACTTCATGTACCGCTGTCATTATCATTTGTTCGGTAAAAAAAAAATTGCCTGCTTCAACAATGAGAGAAGGGATATTTACATAAAGCAGAAAAAGAAGAAAGGTGTTCTAAATGAAAATAAAAGCAGAAACGCCAGAAAGCCAGCAATGAGGGCAAATGGTGTAGATGTCTTCTACTTCCCCTACCAGCTAAAGCATCTGAGGAACCTAGCAAACAACAGAATCTTTGGAAGCTTTGAGATTATCTCAAGCTTACCCATAAAGCCAACCTTCTTGCAAAAAGGCATCCTATACTACTCCTGAAGCATGTGAATGGCCAGGTCCTAGTTTTAGAAGGCAATACAAGTGCATAGCATACATGAGAAATCATAGTATATTACTCTTACATGGTATTCCTCACAGTTGCTAAAGGTGATTTTCTCCCACCATTGCTGCCACCCTTGCCAAGATCCACAACGGGAATGTCATTGTCTGAGTTTGTTAATTCTTGAAGAATCCTCTTTAGATCCTGCAATGGTTCTTCCTTCAAGATGCCTGGCTTGGAGGGCATCTGAAATAAAATAATTCAATTACAAAGTATTTACAAAGGCACTCTCTTTTTCAATTCTCAGCTATGCTCATCCAAAGGCCGATGTTTCTCCCCCTCTGCTCTTGTCTTACCAGTTAGAAACCAGGTGGATTTTTTTACAATTTTAGTTAAGAAGCGTTGGAGGCTAGATCATGGTAACTTGAAGACTGTCAAAAATGCTCTCTGAATATGATTGCCTCTTACCTGGAAAGTTATCTGACAAACGTGTAAAGCAGCTAAATATGATTGAGGAGAACATGGGTAACATCTGCGTTTTGAATAAATGTTGTAAAAAAGTTACGAGTACTGTTTCAAGGTCAAAAACATTAAAATAAGCCTTTAATTAAGAAAGCTCTTCCCCCCCCCA